TCTGCTGAACGCTGCCGAAGGCATCGCGCTCAATGTAGTACGGCGAGCCGTCGGGCTTTTTGCACTTGTAGCGCAGCTTGCAGCATTCCGGGAACGGTTTGTCCATGTGCATGCGCTCGCCGTTGTTGCAGTTCTCGATGCGTAACCGGCCGCAACTGCAATGAATGCAAAGAAATGTGACACGACAATTAAATTAATGAATGTGCTGCTTTATAGCAGAGCTAAAGTATTTACTTATATATGTGTATCTATGTATATTTATTTAAGTGGTTGTGTGCGGCAAAGAAAAATTGAAAGTTAGCGGAAAAAGTCCAGTAAATAATTGAGTTTTCTGTGGTATGTTTGTTTAATTGACTCAATTAAATAATTTCATTAGTGATAAGTGCACTCTTGCATTGCACTCTCTGGTATGCTCGTATATATATGTATGAGTATGTGTATAAATATTTGTCTCTATTATATAGGTATATAAATGGAGCGAAAAAAAAATATTTTTTTTTCATTTCGTACTCTAAAAAATGGTTTCTTAGACAAGTGTAAGAACATCGCTCCAAGTAGGAGCAATTAATTGTAATGTGGAGGTCTCCGCCTTAAAGTTTTTTTTGGTTTTTGCTAAGCAAAAAAAAACTACGTTTTGGAAATAATTTATTGCAAAAAAATTAAAGCACGCGGAGAAGTATTTATGAATAAAAATTAAATACGAAATAGTTTTTTTACTTCAAAAATAATTTTTTTTTGTTTTGATTTTACTTTTTAAAAATATTTATTTTATTTTTTGTTTGAAAAAAATATTTTTAACAACTAATGAAATTATTTTGCACTAAATAATACTGCTGATTATATCTTTTTTAATATAATAAATATATAATTTTTTTGAAAACTATAATACCTATAAGCAGGGTTGCAAATTTATTAATTCAAAAAGTTTGGATTATTAATTAAATTAATTAAAAATCAAAATTTAATTTTTACTCCGGTTGTTGCAATTAAAAATTAAATTTTCTATTTTTTATGCAAAGATATAATATTTGAGATTAAAAATTAAAAACTTAAAAATATATTTTGTTGATTTGAATGAACGCTAAAAAATGTTAGTTCTAAAACAAATTATTTCTTGTATTCCTAATTACATACATACTTGTTTGAGATTAAAATTTTTATTTTTTATTTTTCAATTCAGTGGTTGATATTAAAAATAAATTTCTAATCCGAGTTGTTGGATTAAAATTTTTTTTTTTTTTAATTTTTTATGTTTTTATTATTTTTTTATTTAATTTATTTTATTCCGGTATGAGGTATAAAAAAAATTTAATTCAAATGTTAATTCAATTTTGTTTTAATGCATTATTTGCAACCCTGAACATAAGTAGTATTTATTTATTTATTATTACTATTTTTTTTATTTATTTATTTTTTTTTAACAGCCGTTTAAATCTATTAATGGTTATACAAGTTTTTCCGCATTTTTCAATATTCCTTAAGTTAAAATCATACATTTTTAATTAAAATTTTTTCCCGCAATGCGCGAACTTACCCCTCAATAAATATTGAGCCGTCCTCATTGCAAGTGAGGCGCTGACACGGCGCAATACCCAGATTCACGCCAAGCTTCAGCTCATCGCCGCGATAAATACATTTGCCCGGGTTATCTAACAAGAAAGGGTTGAGCAATGAGCAAGATGTTGCGAAAAATATATATGCCTAGCGTTAACACGAACACTTATTTTTTTCATAGTATTTCTTAGTTGTATGCAATTGCATTTATATATATATAAATATAAATATTTTTAAATTTTTTTACTTTTTTGCTACTTGAACTTGCACTTTTGTAGCATTTGTTTTTCACACACCTGGATCGGGCGATATTAGACCCGAGTACGCCTCAGTGGTGCTGCTATGCAGCAGCAAAAACACCAAGGTAACGGTTAAAAGCAGGAAACTTTGTAAAAACGCACTTTGCCGTGAACGAAACATGTCGAAACTAAATTGAGAACTGAGCTGAGCCAGCAAGCGCTGACTTGCCTCAAGCCATGCTTCAAGCGCTGGCAAATGAAAATAATGTAAAGAGAGGTTTAAATCGTGCTTAGCTGCAACGTTTGTAGCTCTGCAACTCAGCGTGATAACGCTGCTCTCTCCCATGCTCTATCGTTACTTGGCTTATCAATTTTTAGTTGTTTGCTGCTGTTTATGTGCTGAACTTGCACTTGTTGTAGTAGAATCATTTTACATACTATTTGCTATAGTTTTCAATATTTTCTTGCTGAAAATATTTAAATTTTTTATTATGTTTTTTATTTTCTATTTTTTAACTTTTATTTTCTATTTTTTTGAATAATTTTGCCAACGAAGTTTGTAAAACCCAGATGAAAACGTCGGAGAGCCTATAAAATATATACATAAATGATCAGCATCCTGAGCTGAGTTGATTTAGCCATGCCCGCCTGTCTGTCTGTCGTATGCCTGTATATATGCGAACTATTCCCTCGGCTTTTGAGATAACGATATAAAATTTTGTATCCGTACTTTTCTCACCAAGAATCTGTTCATTTGTTGGAACGGTCGATATCGGACCACTGTATTATATAGCTGCCATATCCATGTATGGAAAACTCTTTCATTTGACGAGTTATCTTCACGAAATTTAGCATGGGTTATTTTCTAAGGCAGCTATATAAACTCCGAAGAAATTGTTTAGATCAGATTACTATATCCTATAGCTGCCATACAAATTGAACGATCGGAATCAAGTGCTTGTAAGGAGCCTTTGTATTTGTGCAGGGTATTATAGCTTTGGTGCAACCGAAGTTAACGTTTTTGCTTGTTTATTATAATATTTATTATAATCATTTTATTTTTTATACATTTTTTTTCAATTTTTTATTTTGTATTATTGTTTGTATGTTTGCCTGTGTACATTTCTACGCGGTTTCATTTTCATTTTTCATTCTGTTGTCGCGCTGATTTGCATTTATATTGATTTGCATGTAGTTATTTTGCCTTTTATGCCACACAATCGTATCGCTCACACTCACACGCGTGTGTGAGCGTCTGACTCGGCAGCGGTCAGAGGTTATCGTGCCGTTTTGTTTGACAACGCCATAGCAATGCTGTATACTTGGAATTTGAGTTTCACAGCGCCTACATACACATATTTGTATATTGTATATTTGTTTTTGAATTCTGCTAGAAATATTTGCAATAAATTCTCGTTTTGATTGCTTTATTTCACTCTTTCGCTTTCGATAATGTATTGTTACTCTACTCATGAGCATGCTCTCCTATAAATTCTATAAATAGTATGTATGTACATATATATGTTTATATATATATATATATATATTTGTACTATATAAATATATGTAAATTAATATTTGCTATTTGTCTGCAATAATATTTATTTTATTGTATTTTATTTTTATTTTTGCTGCGCTGGTACGCTGTTCAGCTGGTCTGTGCGTAGTTTACAGCTCTCGCCGCTTATTGACCATTTTCTATGAATGAAAATTCTTTGTTCACATGACAGCCTGCTCTAAATATATTTACGCTCATACACACCAACATATTTACGTATTATTGTCGATTTTCGAAACTCGCCAGCGTGCGCCGTAGTCGTCTTAGCTTCGCTAAAGCCTACAAACTGCCTTCACTTTTAACCTTTGCTTACGCAGCAATAACAAATCATTCGAATTTTTCAATAGAAAAATATGACAAAATAAAAAACTTTTTGTTTCGCTGAGGTGTTTAACGAAACTTTCGCATATTCATGAAGCACATTGAATTTATTTGAAAATGCGAACACATTTCTAGAAACTTTTTCAATGTTCTATAACAGCAGCGCTTTGGCGCTTAAGTCGATTTCGTGAAATTTAGAACTGCAAACTTTTACGCCGTTTTAATTTTGAATTTTTTGAGCTCTCGATTACTGTTTTGGTGATTCGAGCAGTTGCCACAAAAATTTCAAGAAACTCTCTCTCTGGCACTCAATCTGCAGAGTGGACCGTCTTAGTAGCAGTACCCTTTGTACCGCATACGTAAGGGACATGAGAGTTGGTAGTCGTTTGCAGCGATTGCTGTTGTTTGGCGCTCACTCATAATTGCATGTTTTTGAAAATTTTGCAGAATTCCAACAGAAAGATGATTTCGAAATCGTTTTCAACACATAATTTATTCTACGCTATTACAAAATCATTTTATTTGCAACGCTAAACATTCCATAGCACACACACACCCCGCACACAATTGATTCATCGCTTGTGCCCGTCGCTCGCAGTGTCGCAATAAATCAAAATTTATATTTCCGAGATTATTTTTATACACTCATTCAATTATCGTTGAAGCGTTCCATATTTACTTTGCCAGACACACACACACACACACACATGTAATGTATTGTAGCAGCATGCAAAGAATGAGCGCCTATGTGTGTGTGTGTGTCGGTATTTATGCCGACTGCTGTGTTTGTGTGCGTATTCTATGAGCTGTGTGTCGCAATTGTGCTAAATTTATGCGCAGCAGGTCGACAAATAAACAACAATCACAACAACTACATGGATATATATGTATATTGTATGAACGTGGAAAATACCGAATTTGCTATGCAAATACTTTTATACTTCTTTATTTCTCGGAATGCTCTGATTGGTATTTGCAACTTATTATTAACAGCTTAGACAGTTGAGGGTGTTGGCAATATTTCAAACGAATTGCTTGGTCTTTAGCTGGTACAGTAGAAAGCGGGTTGCCATATTCGTCAACCCCAATTGAAAGCACAAAAAAAGCCTGCTCACAGCTGTGTTTCATATAGCATAAAAGGCTATAAAAAAATTTGTAACTCGATTTTGCTCGATCAGTTTGCATGGCAGCTATATGCTATAGTAGTCCAATCTGCATAACTTGTTCGAAGATTGTAGCACTGCTTTGGATAATAATATGTGCCAAATTTCGTGAAGATACCTCGTCAAATAAAAAAGTTGTTCATACAAGGACTTGAGTTTGAATGGTCAGTTCGTATGCTAGCTATAAGCTATAGTGGTCCGATGTCGGCGGTTCAGACAAATAAGTATATTCTTGTGCAAAAAAAAACTTGAGCAAATTACCAAATCGTAATCTCTAAAACTACGGCAATATTTCGTGTATATACAGACGGACCTGGCGACAACAACTTCAGGGTTTAACTAATCAAGGCGTACCGTTTGCACTAAATTTCTACATTTCGTTGGTTTTTCCGGTCATTCGTAATCAGAAATTCGAAGTTAGTTCCGTTACTTGCCAAGCTTCATCAGAAGAAAACATATCTACCAAATCTAACCTGACCTCTAAGGCTGTCGATAATATAGTTTAGATGTTACAAAGTGTGCCTGCCTGTGAAGCGTGTGGTCTTCAGTTGTTACAAGTATACAGTAACAATTTCAATACTTTCATATATTTCTGACATAATTTTGCGCTGAGAATATGCTAAAATGTAATACAATTCAATCAGAGTATGCTTGCACGCTTCCATAGCTTGACTAAAACTAAATTTCATAAACGCAAAAAGGGGGAAAAAAAAATCTCTGTAAGAATTATTCATGCGAAAATGTTATTTTAACACAAATATTTTTGTGAAAAATATCAAAAAGGAAATGCTTGTGAGCAAGAGTAAACAAAACTATAACGGAGTTCAATGTCAGTGCGCTCGACGGACTTGCACTTGAACAAGTGTGTTTGCTTAGCGAAGTTCATGAGTGGCTACACGCACACTCGCACAAACAAATTTCGTTTGTATGCCTGTATGTGTGTGTGTTGAGTGGCTACTGGCCGCTAGCAAGCAAAGCAATTAAAAAATTGTACAACTAGTCGTTATTTATTACTCAAGGTGCCCACGACTAAAGGTGAAATGGCAACACTGCCTGCGCATTCATCAAACAGTAGTGTTGTAAATACATGTTAGCATTCGTTGTTTCTAAATTTTGTAGCGATGTAGTTTTTATAGCCCAAGTTTCCACATCACTGAATTGAAAAAGCGTCGCAGCCCCCTCTCCGGAAGGTAATTTATTGGAACTTCGTAAACCTGCGCGTGTTTTTAGGGTGCATAACCAGTTATCTAATTGAATCTTACTCACAAGTTAACTAAGCAAATATGGTTCTACTTTAGACTATTTAGTCATGCCAAAACGTTGAATCCTTAAGACCGGCGAGAATACCAGATATTAAGTAACAGCGTTACTTTGAATTCATCGAAGGAGGTTACCGCATACTCTGATCAGTTGTGGTACTACAATCGTGGATCGGATTGGGCCGAGCACGCTAAACTCTGCCAGCTGCCTCCATTCTTTGCGAAGTCACACTTTTTTCTTCCATTAGGTGCGTTGTTGTTACTGTAGCGGCAGAACTCTGCCGAGTTGACAGCCCTTGGTCGTATAGAAATCAGAGTCCGTTCCAGTTACGTAATACCGACTGTCGTGGGAATGGTTCTTTGGGTGCGTAAGTACCCTCGCTTCCGTTGTGCACCCTTGCGTCTCGAATCGAAGGAGCTGGAGCATCGTTTTCATGCGTACGTCTATGTCTAACTCCTAACCAGCGATATCGTTTGATTATTAAGCGCTTAACTTTAGCTAACCATTCGTCCCGGTTTGGACGAGCCGAAGCGAGTCATCGAAAATTGGACCCAATGGACTGACCATCTGAGATGTAGCCGCGGCCTACATTTGAAAGAGATAATCTTCAAAAAATAAATACCAAACAATGTTCTTTCGAATGATAATAAACATTCCTCATTAAATTTGCATTTTCTTTTATTTTTTTAAGTAGCGAACCTCGAAATGCTTCACCCTATATATATGTATTGCCATACTTTATCATTGATTTCCGCTTCTTAGACCGCGTAGGAAACTGTGTGCTCGCCATGCAGTCGACTTTTTGCCACTGTGACACTTTACGGACCAGTTGTGAACTAGTTCCTTATATCAAATCAGTCACATTTTGACAGCTTTTTGTTAGGTTGTGTGTGCATATGTCACCGTCATACAACATTTTACCTCTTCTTCGGTTCACCAAATATACAGCGTATTTATTTTCAAGCGCGCCCACACGCAAAATATTTTAGCCACACAAAAGAGAGGAAACAACAAAGCGAACTTTATGCGCAACTGAACTCGTTTACTAGTAGGAAAGCATTATAAAAATTATATAAAAACAAGTATGTTATTTGCGCGCTTAAATACACCTTTGCACTCACAACTGCCGCTTTAAATAGCCACGTGTGCCTGTTTCAATGTCAAGCGCTGTGACGGCGGCGCAGGACGTGCTCAAGTACTCTGCGGCGATTTCGTCGCATTTATTTTGCACAATTTCATATTTCGCTTTGAAGGCTTTATTTATTTGCTTTGCTTTATTATGCTTATTTTTTGTTGTTATGATATTATTTTGTTGTTTTATTTCATTTAATTTTTTTTCTTCTTTTTTTCTGCTTTTGTGCTCTTTTTTCACGTAAATATTACGCAAATGTCGAAATGACCTTAGCAACGCAGCAAACATTGAAATATTGAAGCAAGACGCCTGACAGCTATAAGCAAAGAAAATGTGTCACAAGCAAAGCAAAAGCCAAAGAAAAGCTTAAAAAAATATATATAAATAAGAATGTGCGCCACTAGCTGCTGTGAGGAAGGATGTGGCAGAGGACATGAGCAATAATGTCCGGAAGTTATTAGCAAGCCAGGATGTGCGTCAAGCCTAGAAGATGAGCATTGAACGCTGAGCAAAAGACAAGGCGTATGAGGTGACGTTTTCTTAAGAGAAGCGAGCGCAAGTGTGGCTGCTTTTGAGCGCACAGTTAAAACAGACAGGTAACGCTATTTGTTTCAGCGTTTACATAATTTGCTATTGAAGTAACAAATGCAATAGAAAACGTCAAGCAAAATGCTTGAGTAAAAGCAGAGTAAGCAAGCGCTGCGGATAAACTGTGACTCTTTGCAGTTTTAGTCACACTGACTTTAGTCAGAGTTTATGGATGAGCGAAAGACATTCTCTCCTACTGCGACGCTTAGTTCGTCGTTAGTTACCGATTCGGATTTATGCAACTGGCAGTTCCCACACCTGACCTTCACTGAAAACATCATTAACACTAATAAAGGAGAGCCACTCTCGACGTAATCTTGACTTGACTGGAGGAAAGTTGGAAAATATTTATGCAGCAACAAAAGCAAAAACATACTAAATTTTATTGAACTTTGCTGTTTCGCATTATTTTCTAAAAAAAAAAAATTATATAAAATTATTTGTAAAACAAAGTATGCATGGCAACCCTGTCTTAAGATTGATGGAAATTCAATGAAATAAAATCGATTTTTTTTTTCAACTGCAACAAATGCAAAAGTTGTATTTACTTACCACCAAACCAAAGCAACCTTAGCTTGATATTTTTTATGCCCTACTCTACCGCTGGTGCCGCTTACCCACACGTTTGCAGCAAACAAAAACAACAGCAAGCACAATAAACAGAAAACGCTGTATAATGATGATGCCCTACGGCGACGCATAGACTTGAGCCCAAGCGATTGAGCTTATATGTTCTGCCTAATGCCCACGGACTTGCTTACATTGCCTACATGACATGCGTGTGTTTTTGTTGTATTTTTATTATTATTTACTCATACATACATATGTATACATATATACTTGTACATAGTTTTTGATCTGCTTGGCCTGTGTCACCGGATATGCCATCAAAGCGCTCCACACAAGTGTAATGATGTCTTGCATTTGCTGCATGACTCGCAAAGCCGCGGGCCAAGCACAAACACACAAAGGCACACATGCATAGCTACAGTCGTGTGGGGCTTGTCAATGAGCCTGGCTTTTTAAATGTAATTTTTTTGCATTATTTGCTACAGTCACACTCACACACATATATGCTCAGGCGTTTATGCAAATGATAGCTGCCTAACCAGCTGTCATGCTCTAGCCATGACACCACTTAAAAAGAATCCACAAGCTCACAAGCTTTTCTGGCATTAAAAAGTCATTTTCAATCATTAGTCAGCCACAAAAAGCCTACAATTCGATGCAAAGCTGCTTGAGGCTTTATATTATATTACTCTCTGCAGAACTACGTAGCACTGAAGCGCCGCCTAGTCTATTTTTTAAATTCTGAGCGGGAATAAAGCTTCAGTTTTCGGGTAATTTGATATTTGAAGTGTCTGCTAGAAAATGAAAATGTGCGAAATGGTAAAGTTGTGTACTCTTATTAAGTATCAAAAGTCTCGAAAATGTTCCCCCAACCTATTGCACGGCTCTCTCAGCACATTTTTAATTTTCAAAAATTCCTAATATAAATTTTCTTGTGCAAGATTGTAGCCCACACGTTTCTGCAAATTTGCACGTTTTCGATTTTTCTCTACAACTTTTAGTTTAAAAGTTATGAGAGTATGCAAAGGAGCAAAAATTGAACAACGGAAACGGACATAATATGTGGAAGGATGTTGATATAGACCGGGAACCGGAAATTACATTATATCTCCAGAAGTTGTAAACCGGAAACGAAAACATGCTCATGAATAGGAAGTTTTTATATTACGCAAAATAAAAGGTAAGGGCGTACCTACTATGAGACCGGATATATGTATATGACGGGAACCGGAAATGAAAATTAAAGTATTGTATATCCTGTTTGTTAAGTTGCAACGGAAGTTGTATTCCGGTAACGGAAATATTTTTAACACAGGAAGTATTTTTTTCTTTAAGTACTTCCTGTATAAATGCATCAACTGCATAATGGCAGCAGCTACTTAAAAGGAAGCAATTAATCTTGGATTTCGGATTACAATTTTAGGAAATCAGTCATTAAACCGATTTAACGTTTCCGTTATTTTTCGTTTCCGACACTCGCTATATATTCCACTTCCTTTTTTGCGCCTTTACATATGCTTCGTGATATTAAAAGTTCTTCTATACGAGCACATTTCCGTTCATCATCTATATCATCGCATTTCCGTTCCCCGGTCTATATCCACCATATTTCTTATAGTTTGTCCATATACGTTGTGCCATTTTTGCTCCTTTGCATATGCTACAGCGTCAGCAAATTTTTGGTGCCTCTGCTGTCGCTGCAGAAAATTGCATTCAATTTGGCAGCGAAATCCCAGATTTCTACCAGGTGACCAGGCGTCTAGCAAGCAGCCGCCGCATATAAAAATGCTCATAACTTCTAAACGAGCAGTCGTAGAGAAAATCTAAAAACGTGGAAATTTGCAGAAACGCGTGTACTACAATCCTATCGAAGAAAATTTATATTTGGAATTACCCCAAAATTTTGGAATATCAAAAATGTGTTGCGAATCGCTGGTTTTTATAAATATTATGCGAAAAATGCATAATTTTTTTTTTATTTAGTTGCAAAAAATAGTGTTTATACTTACGTTGACCTATGACGCTTCGATTTATTTACTAAGTTTTTCAATAAAACAAATTTTTTAATAAAAACATCACGTTTATTATTTATGTGTTTTACTTGAATGGTCTTATACACCGCATTGTAAGGAGTGGTTTGCAATTTTAATGCTTAAATTTCAAAAGAACTTTCTTTGTTTCAGCGATTTTTCAAGTTTTCAGTCTAAGTTCAAAAATAGTTCAGCTTCGTCGTCGAATGAAATTCTTCTTCTATTGTGCTCGCAGGATAGTAAATTGCTATATAAATGAATACTGGGCGTTGTCGTTAGCACATTTGCCAATAAAGTGTGTCGAATTTCCTTGTTATTACTTCCGCTTTCATAATTGATTTCGAATTTAGCCAAATTGCGTTCACAAAAGGTTAAGTGAGGCTCCGTAAAGTAATCGACAAAGGCGCGCAAGTGACCCAAATTCGGCGTCACCTGCAACAAAAAAAAAAATTAAATCAAAGAACAACAACAAAAGCCGAAGCGAGCGAGTGGCCGACCCAGTAAAGCGCAATAAACAGTTTAACGAAAATGGCTGTGGCAGAAAGTCGCTTTCTTGGCTGCAACACACAACTTCCGGTGTGCCGAAAAGGTGTCGTAAAACTGTCAACAGACCACAGTAAGCAGATCGAGGGCCCTGCATGCCCAATACGTACATATTTACTAATTTGAATTTACAACAACACATACACGCTTATACCTACACACACATGCATAGCTGCTCTACTTTTCGATTACTCTATATTTGGAGTACAAGCAATTTCCAATCGATACTGCTGGTGAGCAGTGAATGAGTAAACAGGTGAGCCTCAAAGGCGCCCGCGACTTTCTGCAACGTTTGAAACAAAAAATTAAAAAAAAAAAAGGAAATTTACGAGAATTTCGAAAATGAAAGCAAGCGGCGCCTTCACTGCGCGCTTTAAAGCCCCTTGCCTCAGGCGCATACGAACCTTTTTCCTTTTAAAGGTGAAATGGCAGACACTTTTGCTTTTGTTGTTGCTGACCTTGTTGTTGTAGCAGCACGTGTTGTTCGTTTGCGCCGCCGCTGGGCATTCGTTTTCGTTTTCCCATCGAAATTTCACAGCGTCCTTTTGGCTTTCACTCACATGGCAGATACACTGCACTCGTCCGCACGTGTGTATGTGTGTGTGTGTGCGCTTAACCGAATTCTGCGAAGAAACAAAAATAAATACATAAATTAATTAATATAAATTGAATTAATTAATATGAATATAACGGTGCTCAATGCCGAACGAAATTTGATTATTTAAAGCGAAAATACCAATAAAGTGGCAACACCAGCTGCTATGACGGCATACACAGAAGACAAACAAACACATATACTCCTATATATACTTCAAATACACCGAAATGGTGTAGCAAAAGAGAAAGCAAACAAGCTCATTTACATGTTCCAGCTGCCAGCTTGGTAGGGTTGCCATTTTGCAAAAAAAATTATTTTTCTTTTTATAAAACTTTTATTTGTCTGGGGTCAATTTTCTAGCTGTGATGTGAAATTTTATTTTATGTAAAAAAAACAGGGTTGCCAATTTCAGAAACAAATTTTAATGAAATATGTGCCATGATGCAATTTTGGTGTGACCACATATGTATGCCATAGGATTGCCAAATTGTAAAATTAAAATAAAATTTATTTTTTGTTTATTACTAAAACTTTAAATGATAGCAATTTTTAAAAGCAATTTTTTGCTTCAGTGTAAGCGGGTGTAAGCACAATTATTTTAGAGTTACCAACATGTAATTTTTTTAATGTTTATTTGCGACTAAAACTTTAAATGCTAAAAAAAATTGTTCCTTACTTTGTTCGGTTAAAATTTTGGGATTTTTCCGTGTCTAAGCATAATAATTATAGCGTTGCCACATGCTAGTTTAATTTTTTTTCTGAAATTTTCGAAAAAAAAAAAAATTTTGGTTTGAAATTTTCCTTTTCTAAACATAATAATAATAGGGTTGCCACATTTCAGTTCAATTGATTGCTTTTAATTAAAATTTTCCAAAAAAAAAATTATAATTTTGGCTAAAACTTTGACGGTTCGAAATTTTTATAGTTAATTTAGTCAGAAATAAATCAGGGTTGCCAGCTTTAAAATTATTATATTTCACTTTTTTACAGTCACAGTTATGTTCAACTAAAAATTAAAATCTTTCGCACTAAAATTATGGAAAAAATGTTTACATGCATACCCTAAAAAAATTGTGGCAACCCTGCTGCACCCCCACAGCTGTTGCTATTATTTCACCCCGCCTAGGCGGTGCCTGCACAACGCTCCCGTTTGCATGCTTGCACAAAGCAATTTCCTTTGACATTTCGTTCTCATTACAACACACAATTACATGTACATACACACACACACACAGGCATACAGACGCAAATGCATTATTTAAGCGAAAAAACAACATTGTAATGAAAATGTAATAATAATTGGAAGGCCAACAGCAAAATTGAATGCAACAACAACAAGAACATTGCAATTGAAGTACAAAATGCATTTTCTGCGCACAACAGCGACACACAGCCATGCACACACATGCATATGTGTTACAGCATGCAAATAACTGCCGGCGCATGTATGTGTGCGTGCGTGTGTGTGTGTGTGCAGTGAAATTGTAAAGCAATAAATGTAATTTGTATTGAGTAAAAAAAGCGAAAGAAAAAGCATTTAATTGAAAACAGTTGAAACACGGTGTATGTATATGCTTGTGTGTGTGTGGCAGCGCATTGCAGCAAAGCGAGGTTATGCGCAGCATCAAACATGTGCAGCAATTAAAATGACGCCAACTAATAATGAATATTTCTTTAAGCGCGAAAATAATCATATGAAAAATGAGAGATCAAAAATACTATATAAATGTAATTAATGCGCTAAAAAGTATGCAACAGTATCTTATGCACGCCACATACAGCCACATTTTTATATAAGGAAAAGCTATGCATACGTTATAAGTGGAAAATTACGTTTATAACTAAAAAAACATATTATATTAAACGCTTAAAAGTAGTCTGTTCCCCAGTTTAAACACATATTTAGTTAAAGCATAGATTTTCTTGGTATTATCCAGTTTACGGCGCTATGTACGATATTTTTCTAAATAAACTGCAAATACCAAAATTCAATTTTTTGCTGTGCTTGTAGCACCTGCATTTTTACAAAACCTCATAGCATGTAAAATATATTTTTTGTTAAAAAATCATATTCAAGCTGTGAACTTGTAGTATAGCACACAGTTTGTTACATACTGAAAAAAGCTTAAATTATAAAGCTATTATGAAGTTGATTTCCAGCGTTTGTTTCTTACTTTTTGTTAACTAAATTTTTCAAAATTCAAAACTTAAATTTCTTGCTGCGCTTGTAACCCATGAGTTGCTATATAACCTCGTTGTTATACAAATCTCTTGCAACAGTTGATTTGGCGATTTTTTACGCTTTTCTTAGCAATAGTTGTTTTCTCTTGATAGCACATGCTATTTTGGTGAACATGAATTTTACTGTACCCTGCCTGCCATGCAAGCTGATATCGCAATTTTCTCAAAAAAAATATAGTCTACATTCAGGCGCAGAAATAAAATATTGAAAAATTATATTTTATCACAATATTCTGCGCTGACTATCAAACCGCTCCATACCAATTATTACGCACAAAATTTAAATTTATTCCTTTTTTTATAATTATTATTTTGCAAATTAAATATATTTAAAACCCATGTATACATAATTTTTTATGCCAACAACAACGACACTCTACTATAATTATTTTACCTCTTTTCTACATTTTTTCACGCAAGTAAGTCATTATTGCATGCAAATTATCCGCACTTGGCTAGAATAAATAGTAACGCGCGTTATTAACGAAAAAGAAAGCATTTTTGCATTTTTAATTTTTAATTTATTTTGTTATTTTTAACTACACTACTCGAATCAATCACTTCACTTTCACGGCTTTGTTCAGCTTATTTCTTCATCTATTCGCACTCAATCAAGCAGGCGCATTGCCTTTTTTATACAGTTTTATTATCTAGTCAATTATTGCTGCCGCCACCGATTCTTTTCACCGCTCGCTGCTGCAATACCACATGCATAAATATTTCAGCTGCAGCGCAAAAAATCACACGTCAGCAGCTGTCAATTGCATTAATGAAATATTCACAACGCTAAATATCGTGTTTGTGCGCCTAAAAGTATGTCAGCAAGTGTTTTTTCACTTTTTTGCGGCGCTTTGTCGAGTTTTAAGTGTATTTTGCTTTTTTTTTAGGAAACACAAGCAGGCTGACGGCTCCATAAATTTCAATAGTGCCGCGCATAAATTTTATGATTTCTGCTTTACACTCATTGACATGTTTGTATTTTTGTAACATTTATTTAATAATTGATTGCTTATTTTTATTTTATTTTACTATATATTTTTGCATATTTTTATTATAAACTATTTCGTTTTGTTATTTATTGATTTAATTAAGTTTTTATTTATTATTTTTTAATTTTTTATGCTTTATTTTACTTTGTATTTGCAGCACCGTTGCCGCGCACTTCAGCTGCACATTTAATTGCCTTATAAAATGCCACTAGATGTCGCTGCGCCTGTCAGCAGCCACAGCAGCATTTCAATAGCAACAACAACAATACATATCGAGTCGCAGCTGCGTGGTCGCATTGGGACCCAGCCCCGCGCGCTGTACGCCATTGACTCAGCACTGCTCTCGATCGCGCCGCGGCTGCTGTTGATAGGCAATTGATTGCAGCGGCGCGCATGCAAATTTCATGTGGCAGCAATTTGTTGTCGTTATTGCGTACACAATGATTGTCTGTTTTTAAGTGTTTTTCATTGAAATTGATTTTTATTATGCGCACATTTTTCCATTTTTCCATTTTTGTTTTGATTTTTGCATTTTTGCACACACTTCAATTTCGATTTGCCAGCTGGCTTCCCCCCGGCTGTCACTTATGCTGACAATACTTTACGCTGATTCCCTCCCATCAGTATAACTGTATACCCTTGGTAATGCAAAAGTAATGAAATATTTAATTCACTAACAAAAAAAGGCATATTTAACGGTATATATTTGCTTTTAATTGAAAACTTAATTGTTTACTTTACTTACTCAATTTATTTTGTACCGGAAAATCGCTATGAAAGCATAGCAAGCGCGGCATAACTCAACGGAAATCAATTATTTACCGTTTATTTGAGTTAAACTTAAATAAAAGAAAAAAATTGTAACAAAAAAGAAACAAAAAGTGCCAATAAATGTCTAAAAAATTAAATTCCATGCATGAATAAATGTATAATAAATTTTAGCGGTCACCGTTTATTAATAGCAAATGCCCTTCATCCTAAAGGTAGGCTACAGTTTCTCTAAATATATTTTTATCAAATTGATATTATAGTTTAATCTGCAAAAATTTATGCCTTGACAAACTATCGCAGACTATGCTTATATGTTTCTAGCATATACTTCACCATTTTTTGCTAAAATTAAAATAAAATAAATTTAGCATACCTTCGCGCTGAGCGAAAAAAATAATTTTTCTTGAGAATGTTGTAGTGGGATACAGAATACGCTGTAGAAATGTGAAATGTCTGACTCATAATAGGTTATATACACTTGTAAATATTAAAAAATAATTTGTCTTTGTTTATATATCGAATGCAAATATATTTGATAAAACACTTCGAAAATTTTAAACTTTTCTGGCAAATAGTTTTGGAAATGTGTGCGTATATGTAAAGTTTTTTTAACTTGGTATAATCGGCTCTCAAAATTTTCCCGAATCCTTGTTTGCAGAAACGATTAGCTAAATTGAGCCGAAACAGCTGAACCGCTCGACTGGAAATTTTCAGACGACCTTCTTAGATATATTTATCAGGTAGTAATCGGAGGTATAAGGTTTTCGATTATAATTTCGATTTTTTAAGTCACACTAAAGTGTAAATTGTTTTTATACAAGCCGCCATTTTGTCTAAGATAAAAATTTCGACTCGTCCTGCGATTATTACCTGCATTCGTCTATAGTAATAATAAATGTTTTTGCTTTTTGGTAAATTACTTGAGAGCACTGTAGTGAGCAGGCTTTAAAGACAGAAAAGCACTTAAACAGACAGAACCACATAAAGCAAAAGCCTAAATATTAAGGCAACATACGGCTGCATA